AATCCCTCGCAGCCAGGTACACGTTACGTGTTCCTTAATTAAAGTGAAATTAAGCTGTTTTCTTTTCTTCCTACCTTTTTACATTTTCGTTCGCTTGCGTGTAATCTTTCGTTCCCAGATGTTACGAATTCCTAATTAAGGGACAATAACGTGGCACAGAAAATAGTGCAATTAGAAGTATTCAGATTTTGCAATATTATATTTGTCAATTACTAACATAAAATACAAGAAGTAGTTAAATAATCTAAATTCCCTTTAAAAAAAAAAAAAATTCGACATACATAAAAATATTTAAATACCTCTATTACATATTCACTTGACTCGTTTAAATAAGAATTTACACGCTGTAGCTCGTTTCTACGTTAAAATATTTATTATGTAAATTAAATTATCCAATTATTTCGTTAAGCTATGGAAATCTAAAAATACGACAGTATTAAATACCGAAATTAACTCGTTCCTCTAAATTACTCACGAACATGTTTCTCTAATTCCTTTGAATGCGACACAATAGCTCCCCTTTGACATACACACAGAGAGAAAAAAAAAAAAAAAGAAAAAAAGAATAAACACAATAACTTCCGTTCTAAAGAAGCAACAAGTGAACCACGACTTCCCTCAGGTCGCGCGCGTCGTTCGATTCGCGCGCGTTTCACGAGGAGGGAAAAAGCGGCAGGCGGCAAACGTTCAACAAGAAATATTCCGACCTGGTATGAAAAAAAAAAAAACTACAGCAAAAGGCTGCTGCTTCTGCTATTCTTCATTCAGGCTGCAACGGTGCGCTAAATGCTTGCGTCACTTTCGAAACTTAATAACGCACCGTGGCAAGCAATTTAATGACACTCGATCGGGGATTATTATTGCGATGATCTAACAATGAGTTATCGCCTTGCGAATGTTAACAGGGTAAAAGTTACGCGTTCAAAGCCAGGGGTACGTGCTTCGCGGATCGTGCTACCGATTCTTTATCGATGCGCTCATTGTCTAGATCTCTCGCTCACTCACTTATTCACTCTCTCAATTGTTCACATATTCACTCACTCACTTATTTACTCTCTTTCTCTAATTCGCTATTTCTCTTTCTGTCCTCCCTCTCTCGCATTCTCCTTCTTCTCTCTCTGTTTCACGTTTATCTCACACACTCAGTTCTTCACTCTCCCTTTTCTCTCTCCTCTCGTGCACTCACTTTCTCTCTCTCTCTCTCATTCACTAATTTCCTCTCACTCTCCTTTTTCTCTCTCTCACTCATTCACTTATTCACTAATTCTCTCTCTGTCCTCTCTCACTCTCCTTTTTCTCTCTCTCTCTCTCATTCACTAATTTCCTCTCACTCTCCTTTTTCTCTCTCCTCTCACCCATTCACTTATTCACTAATTCTCTCTCTGTCCTCTCTCACTCTCCTTTTTCTCTCTCTGTATCACTTTCCTCTCACACACTCACTTAATCACTCTCTCTCTCTTCTCTCCCTCACTCTCCTTTCTCTCTCTCTTCTCTCCCTCATTCTCCTTTCTCTCTTTCGCTTCTCTCCCTCACTCTCCTTTCTCTCTCTCGCTTCTCTCCCTCACTCTTCTTTCTCTCTCTCTTCTCTCCCTCACTCTTCTTTCTCTCTCTCTATTTCACTCTCACTCTCCTCTCTCTCTCTCTTCTCTCCCTCACTTTTCTCTCTCTCTCTCTATTTCACTCTCACTCTCCTCTCTCTCTCACTCTCCTTTCTCTGTCTTACTCTCCTCTCATACACTCACTTATGCACTCTCTCTCTCTTCTCTCCCTCACTCTCCTCTCTCTCTTTCTTCTCTCCCTCACTCTCCTTTCTCTCTCTCTATTTCACTCTCACTCTCCTCTCTCTCTCTCTTCTCTCCCTCACTTTTCTCTCTCTCTCTCTATTTCACTCTCACTCTCCTCTCTCTCTCACTCTCCTTTCTCTGTCTTACTCTCCTCTCATACACTCACTTATTCACTCTCTCTCTCTCTCTCTCATTCACTAATTCTCTCCTCTCATACACTCACTTTTTCACTCTCTCTCCTCTCTCTCACTCCTTTAGTAACTCACTAACACTCTCTTTCTCTCCCTTTTTCTCTCTGCCTCTCTCTCTCTCTCATTCACCAAGTCTCTCTCTCTCTTTCTCCGCTTCTCTCTGTTTTTCTCATTCCCCCCTTTTTTAATTTTCTATTTTGCCGAAGCGTGAACACACAGGGGACGACACGTTTATACACGGTCGTTTCTGCATACACGCGGTCGTAGCCCAAGGTTCAGAGAACTCCGGCTCCTCGCCGGTGAGCTCAGAGTGAAATGGTACGCAGCCTACCAGCTGCGTGAAAACCACGTGAAATTGCATTGCCTATTGCGACGCAATTTTTGTTTGTTACGGCGGCTATAGTCGTTGCAACGTCGCATCAACAACCTAATGAATATCATTCAGAAATACATTGGAAAACGGAACTTGCGTACCCGTCTGCTATTCCATTCACAGAAGCACACGTTAGCCGCACGAAATGCTTCTTTCTCTCTCTTACATGCGAACCGTGTATTGTTTCTCGTCTGGAAACCGTAGATAAAGAACATTTTTACGGTAGCTTCAACTTCACTGCCGTTAACCACTGCTAATTCAATTATTATATTAACTCGTTGCGTATGAAACAGTGGATTTGCTAATTTAACTTCAAACCACAATAACGCATCCTTTTCTCTTTTCATTATTACAGTATTTTTAATTAAAAAATCTCAATACAGATTTTTCTTAGATCAGATAGATTTCTCGATACAGAAATCCTTTGAAATCTATTTTCTTAAACAGCTTTCGCAATATAGAAATCTTTTATTAGAAACATATTGGACGAATACCTCGTTATTCTATTTTCCTCTTTATCAAGTAGCGAAATATTAATAAACAGATGAATAATAAAACAGCTGGGAAAATAAAACCAACCACAAAAGAAACATTTTTCTACCACTGTTCCGCCCTCTTTAACCAAAAAATATTAATTTCTCATTAATTTTATTTATCGATCGTTCATTTTTCAGGATATTTCCAAGTATTCCATACTCCACAAATTTTCCATCGTTTGCTCAAACTTACAATATCCCATATGCTTCACAGAGCTCCAGAAACACTCTAATTTCATCCACCCATCGAAGACCAACTATTTCCGATAAATCGACGGATCGCAGTGCAAATAAAAGTTGGTTTGTTAATGCACGAGAGGTAGGAGATTATTTCGGAGTCCGCGGGACGTTTGTAAGTCAATGTACTTAGCGAGGTTTTAAGAGTTGTATATTACCGACAACACGTGGAAGCGCTAGAGCACGAGTCCCTGTGTCTCGTTGCCGCGAC